TCTTCATCTATTCATCACAAAACACCCCAGTGAAAGAAAAAAGTAATCATTGTCCCCACTTTACAAATAGCAAGTGGAGAGGATAACTGCCCCACCACTGCCAGAAAACTCAGCCCCTGGGGTGGTCTGGCATATGCACCATTCTGCACATTGAGGCAGGGCTCAATTAAATTACTAGGGGATTGCACTGACACAATACTTACCTCCCAAAACAGGTAAACTGACTCGCTCAACGTCCTCTAACAAATGGTAACAGAGCTTCACAATTAAAAATCTAAATTTATCCCAAAGACCCCCTTCTTAAAACTTCCATTTTCAGATGTACTTTACAACTAAGGTCTTTTGGAATTACAGCAAAGTCCCTAAAAGAAGCCTCACAGAGTGAGAAATGTTTAGAATGTCATATTTATACTGTTACTCCAAATTATGCTTAAACTATAGTCTTAATAACCCCTTGGGTAATGTGCAGGATTCATACTGGAAGTATGTAAGGGTTCAGTGAATCTCAGATTTCTTTTCAATTTTAACAGCATCATTTAAATTACCTGAAAATGCCATCGAGTTTTCCCACCAGAATTTAATGTAGTCTTATATGCACATGTAAAAGCTGTAGATTTTACCAATTCCCAGACAGGCTGCCCACAGTAATCAAACTAACAGTTGCACGTAGCTTTACATATTTCAGGCAAGCTGTGCCAAGAAGTAATTTAGCTCTTTCAAAGCAAAGCCTATCAGATGATTTATCGCAAGAGCTACAAAATATTCTTTTCACCAAAATGGCTGGCAAATATATAAGTAATTCAGTGAAACCTCCTTTATTGCATGTTCCCAAAGACTAATAAATGAAACACAGCATAGGTATGACTTGAACCAAGACTCTAAGAATAAATACTATCCAGTACTGAGAAAAATATTATAAGCATATTTCACTCCAAATGAACCAGATTTACTACATACAATAACTAACTCACGCTTCAGGGGAGTGGGGGTGGGGAATGAAAGGCATTCCCTTTAAGAAAGAGTATTTAAATGACACATGCATTCATTCCAGTTAAATTATGCAAGTATTCCGTAATTGAGAAAGCCACCCCATTACCAAATGTGGTCCAACAGCACATCTCTTTTCTTATGTTCTCCTTATCACTAAATTCTAACTAAAGATCACTTATGCCACAATAAAAATTCAATCTATACTATCTATACTTTTAAAGACTACAGAGAAAGATGTGACAACCTACACTTTCTTCGCCCAGGGGAAATTGCGTTAATAATGCATGTATGCCATAAGATCAATAGTGATCTTTAAGTTATAAAGTAATAAGCTAAAGTAGATAAGCACTTCAAAAGTAAACTATTTCCTCAGGACAAATTCATCACTTTCAGTGCATAACCCTGAATTGGTTGTAGAAAGAAAAAAAGGAAGGGAGGGAAGAAAGAAAGAAGAAGGAAAGAAAGAAAAAAAAGAAAAAAGATCTTAGAAAAACTAGTCTGGCCTCTACCATCAATCTTCAAGGGGTTGCTTCACTGAGTCTCATTTTCTAGAATAGTTGTTTCTGTGCCATTCAAGTATAATAGACCACAAGCTTACATGATTCACCATGCATCAACTCTATACACGTAATTTATTTAAATCCATAATAATTTAACCAAATACAGGGAATGTTGATCCTATGCCATGAAAACTCCTTCGTAGTCTCCAGGTTATCTCAAATTGCTTTATCTCTTGCCATAGAACTGCTGAAAGTAAACCATTCAACAAGATCATAAAGACACCCACAGGAAGGGACTGCCACAGGCCAGTTAAATCCATTCCCCTGCTTCAAGGTGGACTTCATGTAAACCAGAGAGGCTCTTCTTACAGTTCTTTCACTATAGAGATTCCATATTCCACTGATTGCACCACCCGGTCAGATGGGCTTTCCTTGAATGCAGTGGTTGAGAACCGGGTCCCCACCAAGGACATTTGGCAATGTCTGGAGACTTTATCAGTTGTGCGGATGGTGGGGGAGTGTTACTGGCATCTCACAGGTAGAGATCAGGGATGCTGCCAAATATCCTGCAGTGTACAGGACAGCCCCCCAAAGAAAGAATTATCCAGCCCCAAATGTCAGTCGTGCCAAGGTTAAGAAATCCTGCTTTAATGGAACCTAAGTAATGGTTTCAGTAACGGAGTCAAGAGCTTTCAGCTGCTCCAGGAAGATGATTTTAGTGGCTCTAATTATAAACTTCTAACTTCAAAAGGAGAGCGCCAAACCTCTAACCAAGTGCTAGGAAGAGTGACAGTGTAACCGATAGGCACCATGCAAACCACAGAGTGCTGGCCACAAGTCAGGAGTATCAGTAGTAATGACTGTCAGGTAATGTCCCCATCATCGGGAAACTCCCTATTATCTACACATCGCCACACAAGTTTGACAATTTTCCCCCACTGTCCACCTACTCCCTTTTCACTCCCACTGCGGAGTTTTCTCGTGCAGCCCATAGGCTTTTTTTTCCTCTGCCTGGGTATTAAAAATAGCATGAAAAGCAAGTTGGAAGAAATGAAAATAGTAAATAACCTAAGGTGCTTTCCATCCCGGAAAGTCTATGATTTAACAGGACTTAAAAGGTTTGTAAATCAGATCTGGAACTTGAAAAGACATCAGCAGCGTAAAGAAACAGTCCCATGAATAAATAAACATCTAACGTAAAATAATCATCAAAAGAATATGTGTGCAGATATATATATGGAACTGCACAGACCCGGCTCAGGGAGAAGAGAATAAAAGGAAGCTGAAATTGCTGCTTCTTATAACTGCATTGGCAGGAAAAATACATATTTAGAGGCTAAAAGACAGAATTTACATTTTCACGGTTTTTTTTTTTAAAAATCACAAAACTTCAAAATTCACAATAGAAAAACCTAAACAAATCTTAATGAAAAGAGACTCTCAATCTACAGAAACCTTACTGATCAATATGGAATTGATAAATAATGGCTCACCCATATATTACACAGCCAATAAAAATCATATGGAACACTTAATGGCATGAATATATGTTCCCAATATAGTAAGAAGACAGGTTATGAATAATATACACAATGATATCAATCCTATATAAAATGTAAATACATAGAAGTGAATAAAAATAAATATATACAACAAATACACACATGCACAACAAGAGAGGACGGTGAAGGAGGTATGTCAAAATGTTAACAGTGGTTATCTGAGTGGGAAGATGAGGGCTGATTTCCTTCTCTGTGCTTTTCTCTACGTTCATAACGTCCTACCTACAGTGAGAATCATTTGTTATGTTTTGTACTCACAAAATGAATAGATTATTACAAATAAAATTTAAACCGTATGGTTTCAGGAACTGTCCACAAAATGAGAAAAAACAAACCCGAATATGCCAACTTTTCACTTAAAGAAACCACCTTCAGAATCAACCAAAGCAAGCTTTCACTGAGTGTTATTATTATGTGCCTGGTATTTTTCTAAACACTTTGAATGTATTAACTTATTTAAATCAAACCAAAAAAGATACGAAAAAAGAGCCCTGGAATAACAGAAGCTGTGAACCATCTTAGTCTCACTATGAATTTCAATCTGTTTCTACAGACTGAAACGAGGGGGTTTAATAAAATGATCTTTAAAGGTCCTCTCCAGGCTACAATGAGATTCCACACATGATGAATATGGTTGAATAAGTGTTTGTAAGGAAGCTTCTAGAGAATGATGGGGCAGCTGCAAGCCATCTCAAAAACAAAACCCTCTAAAAAAGAACATGATTATGTGTCTCAGTTCCTCCTCAATATTTGTACAACAAATTTCATAACATGTTAAAAAAAAATGTTGAAGGCCCACATTTTCCCAATACTTGGCCATAACTGATTGGATAGGAAGTCTGGTATGGGAGGTAAAAGATTCACTGAAAGGTTGTGCTTCTTGTTCAACGTTAATAAACCTGTAATAAACAAAAACTTTATGAAATATTTTAGTCGTGTTCTGGGTACGACCATTTCAGTGTCTGATTAAAGGGGCCCAAAGACCTACTGGAATTCACCCAAAAGGCGTTCCACTTATGAAATAAAACCAAAACCCCAATACAACACTGAATGGAAAATGAGGGGCCAGCAGAACCCCCTTTCTCAGGGGAAATTACAGCTGCGCAGTTAAAGGAATTTGGGCTTCCCGGTTAAATCGTGGGATTGTTCCCGAAGCTCACAGCCCGACAGAAGTGGGCCAGTCGTGGTTCCGCGGTTCACGCGTGGGTCGGAAGGAAGCACCGAGGTTTGGGCATATCCTTGACCTGTAAGGGATACTTCGTGTCTCACTTGCCACCATCAAAAACAGGTTCGTAGATAATCTTTAGTAGCAAAATTAACATAAGTGCACGTCTGTTAAAAAAAACAGAAACACCGGTGGGTCTGCGATAGGAATACTGAAAGAGACAATTTCCAGGTTTAAATCACACAAAAACTATTTAGGAAACACAAAGACACAAGACACAAAACAAATTAAGAATGCAAGTGTGAAAGACACATTCGCGTTGAACACAAAAGAGAAAAGCAAAACGACTGGAAACTGGCGCGGCCCTGGGACCTCGCGTGCGCCTTCGCCGTGCGGGGACGGGGGTCCCGGGTGGACTTGCAGCCGCCGCCCGGCCCCGCCGCGCACACGCGTTCCCCCTGGCGGGGCGCGCGGCGATCCAACGGCCACAAAGCGAACCGCACAACTTCGCCGCGGCGGGCCCCAAGGTCGGCCCGGGGGCTCGGGCGCGGCAGGGAAGAGCGGGGAGCCCCGGCGGCCCGCGCCTGGCTCCGGGACCCCCGCCAGCCCGGGACGCCGGGTCCTCGGAGGGGGCGCGTCCGCCGGCCCGCCTGGCCCTGCGCGCCCGGTCCCCACGGGTCGCCCCCGCCGCCACCGCCTCCTCGCTCTTCGCGGGCAGGGACGGGCGTCCCGGCTCCAAGCCCGCCGCCGTCCCGGAAGCCGCCCGTGCCGGCCGCCCCTTACCTGCGCCCGCCGCGCCCCGCGCCTCAGAGCGCCGAGAGCCGCCGCCCGCGCCGCCGCTGCCGCTGCTCCGCCCGCCCCGGCGTCCGCGGCCGCGCCGACGCCATCTTGGCTCCGGTCGGAAGTGACGTCGGGCGGCGGCGGCCGCGGCCCTGGGACTCCGCACCGCCCGCGCCGTCGCCGAGGGCCGCGACCCCGGGCCGCTGCGGCCCCCACCCCCGGGTCGCACACGCCCCGGAGATCCCGGGCCGCCCTGCCGCCCTTCGGACTCGCGCTGACCCGGCCGCACTGGCGGGGGACAGCGCGGACCCCGGCGGCCAGCGCCCGCGGCTCGCCACGACCAGTCTGACCGCACCAAGGGGTTGGAATTTTGCGCGATTGAAAGTTACTACAGGAATCCGCAGCCTTTAGAGGGAGAAGAAAAATGGGCTCATCTCTGAGTTCCTGTCAAATAAACATAGATCCCAGTCTTGGCTCATCTCATAAGTCACCCAAAAAGCTCAAGCGCCAAGAGGGCAGATACACCTGGAATTATTTGCTTATTCATTGCGAACAAGTATATACTGCGCGCTCACCATGTGCCTAGCACTGTTCTAGGTGCCGCAGCTACGTAAGGCCCAGAACCTGACCTTGGCCTTGTCCTGGTGGAACCTAACCATTCACACACGAGGGAGCAAATAGATGGCGTGGGTGGCTAGGAATAAATGCTGTCGTGGAGGATTGAGCGTTGAATTGGAGATGTCTTGCAGGCAGTTGGAAAGGAACCTGGAGTCAGGGAGAGTTGGGGGTTCTCGCATATGGGTGGTATCGAAAGCCATGAGCACTTCAAGAAAAAACTTAAGACAGAATGAAATCGGGAAGAATCAAAATGTAGTGAGTAACATTAGGCCTCCGTGGAAAGGACCCACCCTAAAGAATAGACATTAAATTAGAGGCAGGTGTGCAAGTCCGTTTATGTAACGGGTTCAATCTTAAGAAAACATGATGTATGTAACATATACCATGTTAATATTGCAAAGGGATGATGGAGCCAATGAGCTAGTCAGGTATAGTTAAAAAAATCAAGATACCTTCATCAGAGTAAATTTCATCAAGGCCTTAAAAAGTGACAGGGTCAGCACAGAGCCTAAGGAAAAAAAAATCAAACCTCAAGCATTTGCTTTTTTCTGCTATCATTCAAGGGAAAGAGACCCTAGATCTGGAGGATACACGTATGCATGTTACTAAAATAGTGGACTCTGCTGTGGATCAAAGCAGACATCAGACTTTCCATCTCTTACCTAAATCAATGCCTTGCAACACAATTCACGCATTAAAGTTATCAGGAGTATCTGCAAAAAAAAAAAAAGAGAGAGATATGAGAGATGCCACCATTCCATCCACAATTAAAACACTGATATACAAATGAAAAATTTAAAAAAAAAATCTCTATGCCATCTGGCATTCAATAGAATGCAAAGGAAAATAAAGGAACATCAGGTTAGAAGCAACACGGTGACATATAGTAAACATATATTAGACAACATCATGCCAAGACGTGGTTGACAGAGTAATTAGTAGTGTCCTTCTGTCATTAATCTAAAATGACTGGGTGTATTAGTTTCCTGTGGCTCTTGTAACAAATTACCATAAGCTGTGTAGCTCTCAACACCAGAAATGGATTCTCTCACAGTTCTAGAGGCCAGGAGTCCAACATCAGTATCACCGGACCAAAATCAAGGTGTCAGCAGGGCCACATTCCCTCTAGCGGCTCTAGGGGAGAATCTTTCCTTGCCCCTTCCAGTCTTGGGTGGCTGCCAGCATTTGTAGGCTCGTGGCCACATCGCTCCAGTCTTTGAAGCCAGCAACTTTAAATCTCTCTGCTTCATCTCCACATCACCTTCTCCTCCGCGTGTGCTCAAATTTCCATCTGTGTCCCTCTCATGAGGATATATGTGATTGCATTTAGGATCCACCCAGATAATCTGGGATAATCCCCGTCTCAAAATCCTTCACATAATCACCTCTGCAAAGACTTCTTTCCATATGGGAATTAGGATGTGAACAAATCTTTGGGGGCATTATTTAGCCTGCCACACTGGGTATATCCTCTGCTCTCCTGAATTACCCCATAATCAACCACTGCGTATTTTTCCTCCGCATTTTTCTTGAATGTGTTTATATTTTTCAGCCTGTGCCACTTCTCAGGATAAATAATTATGTATATTTTACTAACTTAATCGAAAAAAGATGCTATCTGTCAAGAACACAGTGTAGTTTCATGAGTGTTTATTATCTGTCTGATATGCTAAATATTACTCTTTTGCCTTGTTGAAAAGGTAAAATATATTGCTAAAGGATGAGGGAAGGAAATTCAGACACTTTCATCACACCTCATGGGTAACTTCTATATTGGGATGGAAGTATAAAATGCACTCCATATCTAAACCTATAACATGAATGAAACTCCACTCTACACAGGTACATCTAGTATAGGTCCTGGCCAGTTTTGTACTTTGGGGTGCAGTACCCTTACAGGGGACGTATCATCATTCTCCACAACATCCCAGTACCCAGAACTGTCTGGCACATGGTAAACACTAGATAGATGTTTTTAATGGGGAATAAAGTCTTCTCTCTGGCTCTTCTGAAGTGGCTGGATTACAGAAAGTATGTGTGGACCTAAGACATGGTGCATTGAAAAGACAGCATATGGTTATAATAGGAACCACCGGGCTCCTGCTCAGCAGAGCAACCAGAAGACCTACAGCAGTGCTCCTAAAAAGATGAAAGATTTTACAACCAAGATTAAAGACTTTACAACACATCACCAATGGGAAATGTAAGTGGACTTAAAATTCCTCGAATGATAATAGGACTTATTCTCCACTGGCTTCTACTCTAGGTATTTTGCACGGACTGTCTTATTCATCCTCAGAGCAACCTTATGTGATGAGCACTGTCCTCATTTTACAACTGAGGAAACCGAGGCCCGCAAAAGTTCAAGAATCTGCCCAGTTAGTAACAGAACCAGGTTTTCCATCTAGATGATTTAGCCTCCTCGTAAGCTGCAAGCTTACCAAGTAGTCTACTCCCTACACACACGTGCACACACTGGAAAGCCCGAGAGCTGGTGCAGGTAACTCGGCCACTACAAGCTCTCAACTAGTTGTTCCTGAACCCAGATACTTGCGGTATGTATTTTTTTAATATCGGCATAAGGAGACAATTCTAAATAGTCCTCCTGGACTGTCGGGCAAGAACATCTCATGGTCAGGGGAAAGAGGACTGGGTGTCTAAGGGCAACAGCATCGTATGAACTCACATTTTGTCCGAATAATACATCACTTACTTAAAAAAAAAAAAAAAAACACTGAGTCTCCTTTCCTGATGCAAATTGTTTCCAATGAGGCAAGCAGCTGCAGCCGTTTTGCAGATGAAGAAGCAAAAGCACAGATTGTGGAGGGACGCAGCTGGTGAGTTCCAGAGGCAGGACTCAAGAACCTGTCCCATGTCAAAGTCCGTGGTCTGTCTAAGGCCACTGCTTCCCAGTCATAGAGGTGCTCTTAGCACTACAATCTCTGGGCAGTGGGGTGAACGCATAGGGACAGAGCCACCAGCCCTGCCCTCCAAGAATTTAGGGTCTAGTGGAGCAGTCTGGGGTTGCTTACAAAAGCATTGCAGAGCACATGTGAGAAGAACAGCATCCTTATGCTCCCTGCGTGCTCCATCTGGGTTTGCTCCCCACTCCTTTTTTATTAATATTACTTTAAGGCAACCTACTGAGTGGGAGAAAATATCTGCAAATCATATATCTGATAAAGGGGTAATATCCAAAATATATAAAGAACTCCTACAACTAAAGAGAAAAAAAAAATGGGCAGAGGATCTGTATAGACATTTTTCCAAAGAAGAAATAAAAATAAAAATGTCCAACAGGTACATGAAAAGATGCTCAACATCACTGATCATCAGGGAAATGCAAATGAAAACCACATAAGTACATGTGAGAATGGCTATTATCAGAAAGACAAGAAATAACAAGTGTTGGTGAGGATACGGAGAAAAGGGAACCCTCGTGCACTGTTGGTGGGAAGGTAAATCGCTGTAGCCACTCTGGAAAACAGTGCAGAGATTCCTCAAAAAATTAAAATTAGAACTACAATATGATGCTACAATTCTACTTCTGGATATTTATCCAAAGACAACGAAAACACTCATTTGAAAAAATAGATGCACTCTCACGTTTATTGCAGCATTATTTACAATAGCCAAGATAGGGTGTCCATCAGTGGATGAATAAATACATATGGATCTATATCATTAATGTATGATATGTATATCACATTTTTTTATAGGTAGGTAGATAGCCACAGTGGACTATTATTCAGCCATGAAGAAGAATAAGATCTTGCCGTTTGCAACAAACAGGTGGACCTTGAGGACATTACGTTAAGTGAAATAAGTCAGAGAAAGACAAACACCATATGATCCCAATTATAAATGGAATCTAAAACAAACAAAACCAAAGTCATGGATACGGAGAACAGACTGACGGTTGCCAGAGGCAGGGGTTGGAGAGTGGGCAAAATGGGTGAAAGTGGTCAAAAGATACAAGCTTCCATAAGTAAGTCATGGGGATGTCATGTACAGAATGTTGACTATAGCTAATAATGCTATATTGCCTATTTTTAAAGTTGCTGAGAGAGTAAATCTTAAAAGTTCTTATCAGAGAAAAGTTCTGTAACTATGTATAGTTGACGGAGGTCAAATAGACATTGTGGTGATCGTTTCACAATGTATACAAATGCCAAATCAGGGGCGTCTGCCTTCAGCTCAGGTCACGAGTCCTGGGATTGAGCCCCACGTCAGGCTCCCTGCTCCGCGGGAAGTCTGCTTGTCCCTCTGCCCCTTCATCGGCTCATGCTCTCTCTCTGTCTCAAATAAATAAATAAAATCTTTTTTAAAAATACCAAATCGGGGTGCCTGGGTGGCTCAGTCGTTAAGCGTCTGCCTTCGGCTCAGGTCATGATCCCAGGGTCCTGGGATTGAGCCCTGCATCGGGCTCCCTGCTCGGTGGGAA